AGGTGAAATACATGGTCTCTAGATTTCCTGTGTCCTATTTCAGTCCCTTGACCCTTATAGAGAATTTAGCTGTCAAAATCACTCAGTTCTCTCCCTGTCAAAAAAATCAGGATGTTCTTCGAAACTTTCCTCGTTTTTTTTCTCTTGCGTTGTGCATCCAACACAAACTCTTTAAGTGGGATGTATGGTTCTCTGGATGTTGTTGGGCTCCAGATGTTGTTGAGAGCCAACATGAGAGCCAGTGATTCCCAAACTTTGGTCCTCCAGGTGTCTTGGACTTCCACTCCCAGAAGCCCCAACCAACAGCTTGGCCCGCAAAAATTATGGGAGCTGAAGTCCAAAAACATCTGGGGGATCCAAGTTTGGGAACCACCTGTGTAGTGGTTGGAGCATTGGACTAGGACTCTGGAGAACAGGGTTTGAATCCTGGCTCAGCCATGGAAACCCACTGGGGTCCTTTGCAGATTGCCAGAAATAGTGCAAATTGAGTCCACTTTAACTGCCCAGACTCAGTGCTAGGGAATCATGGGAACTGTAGTTTATTGTGGCACCAGAGCTCTCTGACAGAGAAGGTGCAATGTCTCAGAAAAAAAATACAATTCTCATGATTCCCTAGCACTAACCCTAACCCTTAAAGTGGACTCAATTTGCACTATTTCTAGCAGTCTGCAAAGGCCCTGGGTGACCTTAGCTGAGTAGCACACTCTCAGCCCCAGGGGAAGGCAATGGCAAACCTTCTCTGAACAAATCTTGCCAAGAAAAACCCATGATAAGTTTGCCTTAGGGTCATCATAAGTAGGAAATGACGTGAAGGCACACGACGACAACAACAGTTCCAATCATCCCTTAACACTGGCTAGCCTGGCTGCCTGAGGCTGATGGGAGTTGCAATCCAGCAATATCTAGACAGGCACATGTTTCCCTTCCTAGCCTGAAAGCTTTTGGCAAAATTGCCCTTCCCTTTGTTCTTGCCATTGTCTGCAAACATTCCTCCACACATGATGGTCTCTTCTCTGACTCTGCCACCCAAAAGTCTCCCGCTTCCTTGGAAAATTCTGCCCAATTTCTTTTGCTGTCTCTTATGCAGGACCTCAGAGTGCTGGGTTTGACCCATGCGGTCCTATGTGGCTCAGGTCCAGTTTGTCTGAAGGGCCGATTTCCCCCATATGAGCCGGCAAGGGTCCTGAGATCTTTGAGGGAAGCCCTCTTCTCAGTCCCATCCATCCCCTTGCAGGCATCCTTGGTGAGAATGAGGGAGAGGACTTCTCCATATTAGCCCCTGGACTCTGAGCTGAGAATTGAACCCTGGTCTCCAGAGTTATAGCAATGGACAAATGCCAGTGTGGTGTAGTGGTTTGAGCATTGGACGAGGACTCGAATCTTTGCTTGGCCATGAAAACCCGCTGGGTGACCTTGGGCAAGTCACACTCTCTCAGCCACAGAGGGAGGAACTGGCAAAAAATCCTCTGAAGAAACCTGCCAAGAAAACCCTGCGATAGGTTCAACCTTAGGGTTGCCTTAAGTCAGAAACAACTTGAAGGCACACAACAGCAACAACTGTATTTTCATTCATTAATTCATTTCATTTCATTTCACACACACACACACAGAGCAATGGATTGCTCCTTATTGTTCAAACACTTTTTTTTTGTTCCCAAAGGCTTTTGGGAATGACTGGTTTTAGGGAAAGGACTTTTTCTTCTACTACTACTTTAATGCATGCTATAAATGGTTGTTAAAATTTTGATAGTTTAATTGTATTTGAATGGCAATGTTTAGTATGCTTTTATCTGTATTGTATTTGTTTTGAATAGCAAGCTGTTTTGACTCCCAATTCCAGGAGAAAGGGTGGGCTATAAATAGTGTTGGACTTTGACTCTTGAGACCAGGGTTCGATTCTTGGCTTGCCCATGAAACCCACTGGGTGGCCTTGGGCCAGTCACAGGCTCTCAGCCTCAGAGGAAGGCAATGCAAACCTCCTCTGAGCAAATCTTGCCAAGACAACCCCATGAGAGGTTAATGGCATTAGGATCGCCATAAGTCAGAAATGACTTGAAGGCACACAACAACAACAAATTCATAGAGGGAAAGAATGAATCAACCCTTTGGCCACTTGCAGGCACCATCCCTCCAAACATTTCAAATGCTTCTTCCATTAAGCTTTCGACTTAAGCCTTTAGTCTTTTCCTAGGAGGGAAAAATGAAAATAAGTATTTGCACAAATTTATCCCATTATCCTTGTCTTTCCCTCTTTATCCCCAGTAGCCAGGCCTTCAGACGGAGGCGTTACTAGACAACCATGCAACCTGTAAAGTACAAGTGAGGATTTTCTGGCCCTCCAGATATCATTGGACTGCAGCTTCCAGCATTTAACACCATTGTCCATACTGGCTAAGGCTTCTGGAAGTACAGAGGTATTCAACAACATCTCGAGGGACACACAATCCCCAACCCTGCCATAAAGCTTTACAGAGCAGAGGAACAAGGACGTATCACCATTACACTTGCAAATCCATGCAACAGTGGGTAACCAGTGTATGGTTCGCCACTCCTATATCTTTAGACGGAGGGACTGAGGGCCTTTGCCATTTGCCAGCTAATCTGGATTTTGTCTAGGGTCCCATTATCACCTTCTAACCACCTAGGCATCCAACAGAGGCCAACTCTATCATTTCATTATTTCTTTCCCATAGTAACTAGAAAGAGAGAGCCAGCATTATGTAGTGTAATTGGACTACAGCTCTGAAGATCTGGGTTCAAACCCACTGAGGGGGGTTGCAGACTGCCAGAAATAGTGCAAATTGAGTCTACTTTAAGGGTTAGGGTTAGGGAATCATGAGAACTGTATTTTATTGTGGCACCAGAGCTCTCTGACAGAGAAGGCTATATGCCTCGGGGGGGGGGAACAATTCCCATGATTCCCAAGCACTAACCCTAACCCTAAAAGTGGACTCAATTTGCACTATTTCTGGCAGTCTGCAACCCCCCTGAGTAACCTTGGGTGAGTTACATTCTCTCAGCCCCAGAAAAGCCCGTGATAGTTTTGCCTTAGGGTTGTTGTGATTTGGAAACTACCTGAAGGCATACAACAACAACAATAACGGGAAAGAAATGGAGATTACAGAGTGTGAAATGTCGGAGGGGAAGATGAAGTAGTCCAATTGAATAACTCAAGCCTCTCGTATTTGGAAGCTGCTTGGGCTCAAATTTGTTACTTTACTCTGAAAAGATCCCGCAGATCAGAAACATGATGGACCCAATCCAGGCATTTCTATATATGTCATATTGAATACAGGCTTTTGGCATGGAGATTTGCAGCAGCATTTGTGTAGCAGCCAGATAAGGCATTTCAGCTTAACCAGAGGTAAATCCTTATGATTTTAAGCACAGACTGAGAAGTAAGTGTGCATGATGACAGTACTTCCCTCACAACAATTGGCAATGTGGGGGGACTGGTTGCTTTCATTCCTTTATTATCTTTCTTAATGCGTTTGACTCAGAAATGTGTTGCTATTTATTGACTCAGAGGTATGTGCAGTTGTTTCCATTGGAGCTTATTCCCAGGTATGCAAGTACAGGCTTGCAGCCTTAGGCTTCTAGTCTTTGCAGATTGCTAGAAATAGTGCAAATTGAGTCCACTTTAAGGGTTAGGGTTAGGGTTAGGGAATCATGGGAACTGTATTTTATTATGGCACCAGAGCTCTCTGACAGAGAAGGCTCAATGTCTCAGAAAAACAAACAAACAAACAAAAAAAAAACACAATTCCCATGATTCCCTAGCACTAACCCTAACCCTTGAAGTGGACTCAATTTGCACTATTTCTGGCAGTCTGCAAAGCTAGGCTACTTTTAAGGCTGAGAACTATTTCTCATCCAGAGCTATCGTGAACAAATCTTTCATATATATCTCTGGTGAGCAAGTAGTTTGAAAGGGAAAGCTGCTTCGAGGGATGAATGGGAAATGGTTGGCCAGCTCAACCTTTCCAAAAGTAAACTACCAGCCAGTCCCACTGCCATAGCCCTCATACCTCTGTGTGACCCACTTGGCTGTGGGTTGCTGGCAATTAGAGGATCAGTGGGTACATCACAGGGAGACAGATTTAGCTTGGTGGACAAAAAGGAGTACTGGTAGGTGCATGAAAATGCACTTCCCTAGTGCTTAAAAATGTCTGAGATTAATGAATGGAATACAGAGACCCGGGAAACAAAGGGACTGGGACAGTTCCCATGAGTTATGAAGGTCTGGCATCCTTCCCGGTGTCCTAATGCTTGCACACCTCCTGGAATGAGCAGAGAGAATACACGCAAGGGCCATTTAACCTGGCTAGCTACTGGATGTCACCCTGGTGAATGCACTGCAGAAGGATTTACTTGGCAGCAACAACAATGGGCCTTCGTAAACTGAAAAAGCAGCAGAGTTCAGACTTGCTTATTGTACTGCTGCTTTAATGACTTTGGGGCTCAAATAATTAACCGCCATTGCTTTCCTCTGCAATGCTGACAGGCTTTGCCCCAGGAATCCAGCCTCAAAACCTTCTTGCAGTTTTTTTCTTTTCTGGTGTGTGTGTGTGTGTGTGTGTGTGTGTGTGTGTGTGCATGTGGTTTACCTTCAAGTTGTTTCCAACTTATAGTGACCTTAAGGCATTACAGGGTTTTCTTATAGCAATAGCAATAGCATTTACATTTCCATATCGCTTCATAGCAAACTATGCACTCTCTAAGGCTAAGCGTTTTACAATCTATAAGCCAATTGTCCCCAATAAGCTGGGAACTCATTTTACTGACCAACGAAAGGATGGATGGCTGAGTCAACCTGGAGCCCTGGGATTGAATTTACAACCTTGGGGCTGCAATATTGGCTGCCGTACTGGCATTCAACCACTGCGCCACCAGGGCTCCCAGGGCTTATCTTGGGCAGTTTCTTCAGAGGGGGGTTGCCATTGCCTCCCTCCGAGGCTGAGAGAGTGTCACTTGCCCAAGGTCACCCAGTGGGTTTTCATGGCCAAGTGGGGATTTGAACCCCGGCCTTCAGAGTCATAGTTCATTGCTCAAACCACTACACCACGCTGGCTCTGTTTGTGGTTTTACCTGACACAAGCTATGGAGCAAAGGGCTGTGGTTTGTTGAGCTGCTGCTGTTATAAGCAGCAGCATTGGATTAGCCATTAAGTAAAATAATAATAATAATAAATAATAATAAATTTTATTTATAGCCCGCCCCTGAAGGATGTGCTTCAGGCATAAAGGGAAGCCTACTTTTATTTTAATTTTCAGTAAGCCTCTCTTAAAGCTTACTTCTTTTATTTGCCCACTGCCATAATAAAAAGACTGAGAAGTAGCAGCTCTTTCTGCATTTCCTTGGAGGAAAGTTTGTCCAGAACCATCTCTCTCCCTCTCATGCTGGCATCCCTGAAGGAGCCCACACAGTCTACCTTGTCTCCAGGTTAGGCACTGTAAAAGCGGGGAAGAAAAGCTTTTAAAGCTAATCTCCATAAACATCTTTGCACCGAGAAAAGCAAACAGTGAAGAGGTTGTGCACAAAAGGGAGACCTGGAATGTGTAGCCATCCTCAGCCATTGCTTGCAAAGCAAACAAAGGAGGACTCAATTGAAGGCAGACAGACTGTTCAGCCTGTTTGACTTGTTAACACACAGCAAGTGGCAGATCCAAAATGCTTTATTTGGCACAGGACTCTCTTTCATGTGGGGATATATATATAAATATGTGCAAACACATACATACACATTTGCATCACAATGGCATCTAGAATGAAGTCTCAACAAAGCATTAAGCAAAGAGGGGGGAAAGTGTCTCAGGATTGTGCCCTTGCCAAAGGCTGAGTGCCGCAAACCAACAAAAGTCCCTACAGCCAGAAAACCCAAGATCTATGATCAAAAAACCGAACTGAAGGGTTCTGCCAAAAATATATATATCCAGGATAAAATAATCCCACTTCCAATTACAAAAAAGGCAACAATATGATGAAACAAAAGAATAATTAAACCCTGGAGCAGAAAAGCCAATAGAATTTCTGAAAGGGTAAAAATACCCCACTGAAAAGTATGCAAATGCAAAAAGTAATTATGTATTATGATAATAAAAAAATTCTCATTTTTTGCCAATTTCTTTCCTTCACATTAATAGTCTCAAAGGTGCTACAACAACAACACCATAGAGGTGTATATATCGGACATTGTAGACTCCTAGATCAATAATGGCTGGTTAAATTTCAGTATCCTGCATAGATAGCATCACTCTGTCCAGCTGTGAACCAGGAAGGAGTCGAAGAAGATTTTGCAAAAGAACTCTGCAGGTGTGGAATGGAATGAATCAGTCTCAATTAGTCGGCTTCCTATGTTTTCACTTATGCAAATAACAGTCCTGGTTAGAAAATCCAGATTTCATCCGTTGGGAATTGTGTGCTTCCGTAACTGTGGCTGTGATTGCAAGATATGGCAACTAGGAACCCTGCCTCACTCAGACAATTTGGATGCTGGTAGAGGCTACTAGATTACTTTGGTTTGAAGTGGAAACTAATGAAACCTTGGAGATGGGCATCATACAACACACACAGAACCCATCTGTTGTTGTTATTGTGTGCCTTCAAGGAGTTTCCGACTCACGTGGACTCTAAGGTGAACCTATTACGGGTTTTCTTGGCAAGTTTCTTCAGAGGGGTTTTTGCCATTACCATCCTCTGAGGCTGAGAGGGTGTGACTTGTCCAAGGTCACCCAGTGGGTTTACATGACTGAGCGGGGATTTGAACCCTGGCCTCCAGAGTCATAGTACCATGCTCAAGCCACTATACCACTGGCTCTGTTTGTGGTTTTATCTGACACAAGCTATGGAGCAAAGGGCTGTGGTTTGTTGAGCTGCTGCTGTTATAAGCAGCAGCGTTGGATTAACCATTAAGCAAAATAAGGATGTGCTTCAGGCATAAAGGGAAGCAGGGCATCACAGAAATTTTCCATTGATGGATTTACCATGGGCCCTATGGTGCAAAACTGCAAATGGTTGTATCACAAAAAGAGGCTCCCACATTATTATTATTATTATTACAGTTTATTTATATAGCACTGTACATACAGTCAATAAAATAGATAAAAATAGATAAAAAGCCTGCTGATGGCATACATTCTACAAAATAATAAAATACATATTAATACAAAGAAGGCAACAAATTAAACACATCAAATAATCATCAATAAATGAAGAAAATTACACACACACACACACACACACATTTATTGTGATCATGGGATTTTCGTGGCAAGTTTTTTCAGAGGGGTTTTTTAACCTTACTGTAGGTTGTGGTTCATTTTGAAAAAATAAATTTTTATTTTATGGTTTATTTTATGGTTTATTATTGCAAGGATGGTCTAGTGTGTGTAAGAGCAGAACTGGATCAAGTAAAAAGCTCATTGGTTCTTTCCGCCTCACCCCAAAAGTAGTCACCCTTAGGGCACATCATCAGCTGGGCAGTATGGCATAATATGTCCACAGCAAGAAATAAAGGGAGTTTTATTGCCACCTATAAAAGTCCAGAGATCACAAGAGGCAATGGCCCTTTTATTAGACCAATTTAGCTACCACAAATGCCTCCAGAATTTCTCTCATTGCTGGACATTAAGTAAATATAAGGCAGCATCTGTATGGGTTTGTGCTTTACTGGTGGTCATCATTTGGTTTTCCGATAGTGAATTCTGTTCCATTATTCACTGTGTGAAGATGTCCTTTTTCTTTTTTTAATTTATATTTTATTAACATATACTATTCAAATATATCTATAAAGTTGA